AGCGTTATTAATGTTTTTTCTCTGTCGTATTCGCACTTCAGGTCAGATGTGATACATTTTTGCCTTATTTCTTTTGCATTGAAATAGATTGACTTGTTAAGCCTCCACCCGCAAAGTGGCTCATTTAAGGGGGATTTATTGAATAAAGTGTTTTAAAAAGATGAATTAACCTCCGACCGATATAATTACAAGATATTACGATCTAACCTCACATCTATTTTAGTTTAATTAAACATGAACCTCTGTTAGTTGTATAGTGAGCGCTTAATGGAGAAATCTTGTTGACTGTCAGTAATTCGAGTTCACTTATTTATTTAAATACATCGCACTAGTGCACAAACTGGGCGCCAAAAAAGCTAACAGAATTGGTTCTGAATGACTCTGAATTTATTTAACCTCCGATGCTTCTGACACCTTACTGGGTAAAATTTGCCATTGTGATGAAAACAAAAGAATAAAATTTATTCTCAAGCCGCCTAAAAAAAAGTTTTAAATCACGCGGTTGCCATCTCAGCAGATCTTTTAATAACATGTTTTCCTATCTAAGATAAAACTGGGTTTAAAAACTGGAATTTTAGCTTTATCACTCAGTCCTTCAGACCTACACGGAGTAGAGAGAAAGAAGTAAATAGCTGACCGTGACGAGCTGTCAGAAATAGCTCAATTTTTATCATCATTACTACCACTACCATTATCAGTAGTTTTATCGTCATCATTATCGTAACTGTTATTTTCATCACGTGTAAAATTATCATTATAATTATTAATATTGATATCATTATTCTTTTATATCTTTTAGCCTTTTGTAGCTTGCAAGATTGAAACCATTTTGGACGGTAACACAAACACATTCTCAAGCTTTGCGAATTTAACTATTTGTCTCTTTTAGGAATACTATATCGATATCACTTTTATCATTTTTTTTTGCATTGAGGTTCTGTATGTACCTGTAGCTTTCACTTGAGTTCTCGCTTGTTTTCTGAAAAGAGTTCTTATTAATATTTTTGTCATAAATCTACAATGCAAATCACTTGTAGCCTTGAACACACAGCTTTATTGACAGCAGAGAAATAAAAACAGCAGTTTTACACACATTCCAGTTATTTAGTATGTCTAAAGCGTTGTATATGATCTCATGATATTTAATTTTTTTTTCTAAGATGAGAAGAAAGGAATCTCTCTTTCTTGAAAGTCTACACGCGTGTGATACTCTTTTTTACTGAAAAAGATTGTTCGTCACAGATGACTGTCTTTTGAACTCGTTCTTTTATGGAGTGTTTACTGAATAATATATTTTCTTGGTCTACAAAAACGAAAATAATAATAATAATAAAAACAGCATACTGAAAAGTTTTCTATATCCAGCCATCTTTACCATCAAAAATGGCGAAGAATGAAATTACATAACTACAATCAAACAGAGACCAAAAGAAAAGGAAACTGAAATTTGACCTGCCGTTATCATTGACGACAAAAACGTTTTGCACTCTTAAACATATTTGCTGAACAAAGGAGAAGTAATCAGAGAATTCAAAAGGTTAAAAGATAAGACAAGCAAGGCAAGTGCAGCTGAAATTCATTTTCACCTGATCAAAAATGTTTTACACTCTGTATCAGAGAGTGAAAAACGTGTTCCAAACGTTTAAAGGTGCATAACTTCCATGGCAACGAGCAAAATTCGTCACATATGCTGCATTCAGTCTGATTCAAGGTGAAAACAGCTGCCAATTATCGCATATTTTCAGGACTGAATTCAAGTTAGAAATGATCGCTTTAGTTTGTGATAAAATTACGATGAGGTGATTTGAACCAAAGGCGAATATTTAAGTTAACTATCTTTGTTTGGTGCAAAGCATGGAGTAATGGAACATGTTCATACATTATTTTGTTTGTTTATTTTATGGCTCATTTGCGTAAAATTAAAAAAGTGTTAACTAGTGTTAAAGCATTGCCTTGGGTGCATCTTTGTTCAGTACAGTTGTAATTAGTTCGTTTCTTTTGGTATACTTTTTTTTTAAGAGTTTCCCTTGACGACTACAAGCACAATAAGCGGTCCCCTTTCAATCTTTAATCCCAAACACATTTCTGTCCACATAGATAAATCAGTGATATACTGCAAATATTGTTCCTCGACTCACGTGTTACCTCTTATCTTATCTATATTTCTGATTGCTGCTACTGCAACGGTACAAAAAAAAAAAACAAAAAAAATGAATAACATGTTAGAATGGATGATTTTGAAGCTAAAATAGGGAACCGAGGTATACAACATTAGCTTACAAGTGACATGAACATTTGTCAATGTTCTGTTATCCTGATGGTTTCTATAATATGGAATATCAACAGCTGCGCTGTTATCAGTGTTTCAGTTAAAAAGGCTTCATTCAAATTTGAACCAAAGCCGCCACACTTGAGACAAAATGGTACAAATTTCCATGTCAATACTTCACCAAGGCTCTATTCACCTTAATTGTAATTTAAAGGGTTGGAGAGGGCTATTTTTCATACGGCTGTCAGTTAATGTTAATAAATATATATTTCCTGAACACCATCAGTGTCTATTAGGAAATATACGTAAAATATTTAATTTATTAGTGATCTTTTTATTGGTGATAACGGTGTCTCAATTATCAAGTTGATGTAGGATACCAAGTTGTTTTCTTTGAATTGAAATGCCTGTCTCTCGGGTAAATTAATTCAGTTTCATTTGCGTGTTAAGTAGACATGGTAGTCTTCCTCATTACTTATTACGCTGGTTCAATTAATATCTGAAGCGGTGAGTAAACACAAGGAGGAAACCTAACTTTTTTCTTCTACAATGGAGGAAAACTTGACTTTACCCAAAGTGGATTTAGATAACAACACTTCAAGTTCATTGCCGGTTTACTACATTATCCTCGCATCGCTTATCGGGTTCGTTGCAGTGTTTGGGAATGGGGTAGTGATCTATCTCATTTCTACAAGAAGACGACTTCATGTGGAAACCAATTACTTTGTGGTGTCCCTTGCTTTTGCAGACTTGTTGGTAGGCTTGTTTCTTCCCACTTTCATCATCGCCTGTGACTTCTGGTCGGACTGTGATATAACAACTTATTTCATGTTTTTTAACCTGTTCACCTTAATATCCATAGCGAATTTATTTGCCATGACAGTGGATAGGTATATATCGATTTTATATCCTCTGCGTTATCAGTCATATGCCACATCAAGGCGACTTTTTGGCACAATTTTGGTTTCGTGGATTATTCCAGCATATCTCTCCTTCTCTCCACTTTTCTGGACACTTGCAAGTTCGGAGACAGTTAAAAATACGGGAAAAAAGGTTCATGCTTTAATTGTTATCACTGCATTCGAGGTGATACCCACCGTTGTCATGCCAGCCATGTATATCCAAATTTTCGTAACTGCAAGGCGACACGCGCGGCAGGTTGCAACACACCAAACTCAGCTCGACCTCAACAGTCAAGTCAACAACAGAGATAACACGCAACAGGCGACAGCAGATGCGGATAAGAGAGCCTCTCATACCTCACAACAAAGCAAAGGTAAAAGAAAGACTGCAGATTCATCGAGTGTTATAGTATTGGGAGCTGTCATAGGCCTTTTTGTTGTTTGTTGGTCTTTTGACACAGTGATTTCGCTTTGCAGTAAGTTAGAACTGTGCGTTATCAGTGATGGTCTTTTCAGAGTATCTGATTTGATGATTTTTGTAAATTCTGCCATAAATCCAATCGTCTACGCCTTTTTGAAGAAGGACATCAAGCGGGAATTGAGTTTTATTTGTTGTCGTACCGTGGCAATGAATGAAAAGTAATTTATTTTCATGAGTTGTTATGTAAACCAGCATCAAGCTTGTTACCTCGGGTTGGTTATGATAAGTAGCTATATTACTGGAGATCTTTGAACTCCACAGTCTTAAATACAAAGCCCAGGGATAAATATAAGTATTAATAACAAATTACGTGTTTCTGCTCAGGCAATCCAAAATGTAATCTCCTGTGAAACATATAAATAATTTTATTTATGTCAATATATTAAATTTTCAACGTTTGCAAGGTAATTAAACCAGTAATAAAATTAATTGAACTCGCTCTTTGAACCATTTCGTCATTTTTCTGAGTATGGTCATGAAGACCCGATCGTCAAATCTTTTTGAAACCCAGCCACATTGCTTACAGCATCTATGATAGTTAATAACTATTATCCGAAGTGGAGGTGGCTAACGGTGTTCATTTTCCATGGATATCCATCGCTGGCCACCGGCACTGAGGTGAGTAGTTCTTTTGGCTTATAATAAAACAGTCACATAGTATAGCGCAAAAAGATAATTCTAACTCACTTAATTCTGCAACAATTATAACCAAATCCTGCACGAGCCGCTCGGAAGTGAGAAGCAAACTATTAAAGATATTTGGGTTTAGTGGGCGCTTATCCATTGTTTTAGGATTTGCATGCTAATATTAATTCTTCATTTAATGAGAAATAAGTACTGATACAGACTGACGTTCCAAAAGTTTTCTTGAGACTTGATGTAATGTCATTGATCCGTATGATGGGTTTCCTAACTCTTGTAATTTTTTTTGGGGGGAAAAAGTCAGTTATAAGCAAGCAAATTAATAATAAAAAAGCGAAGCGACAACCGAATTCAATATTTTGTTGTTTGGTAACAAATGTAATCATGGCTTTTATTCTTATTGTGTCTCATATTAATTTCTTCCATGAAAATATCATTTTTCCTGTTCCGTGTCAACAATCTCGTTCTCAGTTGGTACCTTCACCATTGAGAAAATTTAAAGCTAAGAGACTAAGATAGGCGTGGGTATCATGGGTGTAGGTGCTCATTTGCATTTTCTACTAAGCATTTATTGATACAATTGAACAAAACGGAACAAAATCGTTATTGTACAACTAACCATCTTAGCGGCTACAATACTTCATTTATCATCTTTGTCTTACTTTTTGAGCTGATTTCAACCTTAGATTAGATTAGAGGCGACCCATTACATGCACTTATTTTCCATTATCACATCTGTGCATACTTTACAACTGCATGGCTTGTCAACACTCGTTTTACAGTCACAAAATCTCTTCTGAAGTTTTGCCTCCCGTTTGTAGCCCCGACCACAGCACATCAAGGTGCAGTCACCTTCTTTAAGAGAGTTCAATTGGCAGCGGCGGCCACGCGTGCCTGGAATGCCGTATTCATTCTGCCGATAGCAGTAGGTGGGAGAGTAACGAATGTAAACCAGAGATGATTTCCTTGGTCTCTTTCCATTTGGTCTGTCGCGGTACCGCTCAATGGTTCGCAGAAAGGGTGAATTGTTCTTTCCTCGTTTGTGCGCAGTAACCCTTGTGGCCAAGTGATACTTTCCCTTAATGATTCGGCTGATTTTGTGGAGTGGTGGTAAAGTTAGATGGCAAGACTTAACTCTCCCAGTTTTTCCCACTGTGCATTTTGCCACTCGATTCTCTTGTAGAACCTGAAAAATGTTTCACAGGTAATTAGAATCATGCTTTGGTATAATACACCATTAAATTGAATCTTGATCTTGCTGCCGCACAAGTGCGAATCATTTGGGGCTGACAGTGCCAAGTGACCCCTACAATTGCTCAATTAAACGAAAGGGGTAGCTAAGCTCTTACGCCCCCTACATCCCCACCCTGATATGAAATAGTAGAAATATACAATTACATCCTACAAGAGACTGTAAACTGTTATATTCTCTCGCATCCTACTATGTTTTTTGTATCTGGAGTAAAACCCCATCGTTGAAAACTCGTGTTTCTCTCCTGGGAGTGTCAATTTCCTATAAAAGAAGGTGCAAGACCGATTTTCTGAAAACTCACGCCGAAAATTAAAGACAGTATGGTTTGTGACAGATGGGGACCCTACTATCTAACCATAAAATTATCTTTAAACTGTTTCATAAAATGCAAGGATGGAAAAGCTCACAAATGAAGTAAAAGGATAACAACTTGAATATCCTACTGTATTCACCTGAAGTCCAACTCTGATATTGTGCTTCATGACAAGTGTATCAATAGCGCTTTTATTTCTCCTGTCATTCAGCATAAAACGTTCAGATGAGTAAGTTCCAAAGTGAGCATTTGCACTACAACCTTTCCGTTTCCAGGTCTGCCCGTACCTGGGACGTCTGATTCCCTCGCAGCGGCATTCCGTGACGTTTTTCGCTGTGCAGGCCTTTGTTACACTGTAGGCTATTGACGCTGATAGCAATGCAGTTGTAAACGCTGCCTCTCTTGTCCCAGCTGGAAAGTGAGATAATTAAATGTTATAAGAAAAAATTCCACCTTATTCAGGAATAAGAAGGAAACCTGGAGTACTAAGAATGTAAAAATATCACATACCCAGACGTTAATAGGCACGTTTACCCTCATGTTTTGTATTAGTGCGTATGTGTATAGATGAAAGTAGTTTTGTGTTTTTGATGTTAGCATAACAAATTAAAAGCGGACACGTAAAGACACGTAATGAAAAATACTGAAGATGAGGACACCAAAGACGAATTTCTTCATAAACAACGTGAACTAAGGAACACTCAAGAGCAGGAACCGGATAGGACACAAAGATAGACACTCACTGCAGAAGCTGAGCGAGATGACTAAAAGAGGCCTATCGGCGCATGCAATTACAGATCAGAGTCAGAACGAAAACTGACAGAAATAGGGCCAAAAAAAATGCAATTACAAAGGTCGCCGAAGTAAACCAACAGCTTCTTTTTATGAATCACTCCGGATCGGGCTAAAATAATATTTAAATGGTAACCTTTAAACTGGTCGGGGTACCTTTTTGTCAATTTCAATATACACCAAAAACTTTCAATTAGCTTCAAGCGGGGACGATCTTGATTTCGTGCCCACAACTCAGGAGAGCAGGAAGTACTCGCTGTTCGACGTTATTTTGTCAGCATGGAGCCTTGCCAATGGAACAAAAGTTAACTTGAAATAAAACATGACTCTTTGATAGCACTTTTCTGTACGTCCTCAACAGAGGAATAACAAGCAGTGTGGAAACTGGGGTGATTAAAACTGCCCTTTGTGTGCAATTTTGATGTTTAATCACATTTCTGTGGCCATTAAGACTCCATTTGATCCTTAACCTTTTTACATCTGTCAGTTTGGACTTTCCCTACAACTATAAAGAAACGTAAATACGCCAATGATAACAGATGTTGGAGTTAAGAAAAACAAAGTCATGTTGATTTAAAACAAAGCGCGGCTGACGCACTCACCTGGTGCTCGTTCCAAAAGACTTTTGTTTACAAGCGCGCTACAATTCCACCTACTCCACTGAAATTCTCGCTCGCATTCTGATAATCCTCTCTCGATCCCTTTCTTTATTGCAGTCTCGAGTCCAAGCACTCTGAAGCAAAGCTTTCTTTGACTCACGGACAGTCCTGGTGCTTTGTAACACCACGAATCAGAGCGGCGTGCCTTTTTAGCACTGCTCGTGTCACTGCGAAAAAAATTGATAGCACTTCCCACTCACTTGGAGAGCATTAACTTAATTAGCAATTTAACGTCTGTTTTGATTTTCGTGAGGAATTGGCTTTGGACTGTACTGATCGGGTATAACTATAGCTAGGCGTATCTTTATCAAGCGCCATAATTTCAACGCTACTCGTGAGTAACATATACGTTTCCTTTGAATTTTGATTGATATGCATCAACGGGAAAAGCCCGAATTTCACCTTCGGGGAGAAAAAAGAATCTAAAGACATGGTTTCCACTGATAGCTCATTGAATTCCCCTCAACTCAGCACGACCGGGGCCGCCAGTGTCAACGCTGTTTTGAATGTCAATTGCAAGTTGATCTTGTCCATGGACCTCACATAATTTTTTCCCTGTTCTGGTTAGCAATGTGATGGATCTTAGTTCAGATCTCAGGTATTTTTTTGAAGTAGATGCGAGTGGACTGTTGATTATCTCAGTCAGTCCTAATTTACTCACAGATATTAAAAATACGTCGATGTTAAACAAATTATCACTACCCAAATATCTATTTCTCTTACTTTGAAACAGACCGAGGCGAGGGCGAACTTCGCTTCAACATTATTCTCGCTAACACGACGTACATGTTTTATTGTCGGACAAAGATCTCGCTTTGCTCGAATGAAATTCCAATGGCTCTTCATCGAGACAAAGTAGGAGACGCTGAAGATGACTCGAACACAATCTATAAAGATTTAAAGTCAAATCAATGATCACGGCGTATTGACTTGTGTGTCTCTTTTTAAATCTTTGCAGAGCCTGTATTCCTTATATACCTGTATACCATGTTCTGAGGTATTAACCTAGACTTACATAGAAGAGCATAATTGCTTTTCAAAAGATACGTGGATATACGTCTTGGCTTGAATTTCGAAACTAAGTTGAATAGAATCAATTAGTCTGTGTAAACTTGATAGTGATCTTTCCTTGATTTTACAAAATCTTGCGAGAGGCTCATCAACCTCTTCGCATCGAGATCAAAACCAAGATCCCTAATTTTCATGAGCAAAAGAACCCTTTTTCATGTCCACGCCGAGATTTTTTCGGCCATTACTTAGTGACATGTATTTCTCACGCGAGTAACTTACCCAAAACAGTACAACAGGAACACTATGAACCCTACATAAAGCTTCATGACTGCAGTCTCCCAACTAGCAGTGGTTTAATGCTTACATGGACCTTTACTTTGCTGCTGAGGAATGTCCCTTCCGTGGTACCCTGCTGCAAGAATAATATTTCCAACCTATCTTGGGCAACAAGAGCTTTTTACACAGCTCGACACGCGAAAGGTATTAATTTCATCTCCTGTTGACAGAATTCGCTGGAGTCTTTGTTTTTGTACGTTATGACACGACATGAAAAACAACTCACGACCCTGGACACTGTTTGAATTTGTTTTGGTGCGCGTGTTCTATTTCATAGGAATTCAAAGTTCATTCCACTTTGGTTTTTTGTGTAAATGATCACTTGCTTATGTAGACAGAGTTCAAATGCATTTCGTTTTCACATATAAATGTTCGAACAATGTCCTCGAACAATATGCTGGACTTATTTAGTGGTTATAACTAGCTACCTACATTCAGAATCTCAACGTTTTTAATCAGTGCGATCGTTTAAATCAAACTAGGACTAAAGGTATGGCGATAATTACGACAAGGCACTGTGGGGATTTAGATTTGAGATTTAGACGCTCTTTTCTGCTCTCAAAGGGCAGACCATCAAATTTCGATTTCGGCTACAAGAATAAAATGAAATGAATTTTCGGTGTTAAAAAGTTTATCACTTAAAGAGGGAGGCATTGGGGTCTATTAGAAACCGCAAAACTGTAGAAAAAAATTAACAAAACCGAAAAACCGAAAAAAAATTCGATCAAAACCGAAAACCGCTTGCAAAATTGTCGAAACCGATACATTTTAACATCCCAGCTATTAAAACCCTGAATTGATCCGATACAGTGGTGACAAGTGGAGCATACAGAGTAAACTACACTAATTTCATTACAGGATTAATGAATGCCATGGACTTGGCATTCGTATCTTCTAGTATGTGCTTAAATTAACCGTAACAGCTGTTCTCTCAAGGACCTCGAGCATGGTCTCTGCGGACTCAGCAGCTGGTAATGGGGCTTAGCTAAATTAAGGAAATTCGCACAAAAGTCCTGAATAGGATTGCAATTTTGCAGTCGTAAATAGTTATAGCTCTGGAAAGTTTCATCGAAAATCCCTAATCTAACATTTCCATTTGCGAACTAAGACCTGAAAAATTGGAGATTCTATTGGAATGTTGAATCAATCAGTCACATGTGGCGTTGATAAAGAAATTCTGGCAGTGTTCCGTGCTTAGCCGTACCCGACGTGTAGCCGTACACGACATGTAGTTGCGCCTTCCCCTCCCCCTCCCCCCACCATGGGGGAAGGGGGAGGGTACTGTTACACGTAAGGCTACTTAGGGATTCTCGCGATATTTCAATTGGTTTGACACGCATTCCTCTCGATAACATTTGCGTTTAGCGGCTATTCGAGATCAGCGGAGGCGCGTAATAGGTCAAATAGGAAAAACCAAAAACCGCATCGGGAAAACCCGTTAGTAATTTTCGCGAAAACCGAAAACCAAGTGCTAAAAAACGGAAAATCCGCAAACCGCAATGAACACCAAAACCGAAAAACCGAAGTTTTTTGGCGCAAAAACCGAAAAACCGATCTAAAAAATAGCCAAAACCACAGAACCGAAAATCCCAATGCCCCCTCTTTAAATACCAGTGAATTCGAAAACTTATCATGTCATCATAATAAACAATGATTGACAGATATGAAAAATTCTTGGTTTTTGCTTTCGTGCAATCCCATCCTATCTATCATGTTGAGGGATTTAGTATTTACCAAGAAATGAAAACCACGTTGAATTGAAGACGGCTAGGTTTTCCCTTTATTTTCGAAGTAAACATAACCCTCCTCCTCTTTGAATCTTCACGATATGACTGCGTTATTACGGTATTCTTGCCATTGGAGTATATAATAAGAGTATATAATAAGCAATCGTATGACTCAAAGCCATGGGAAATCGATTTTGGTTCGACTTAGCACGAGGTTCGAGTTGGCGAGGGTTCGAGTTACCGAGGGTAAAATAGCAGCAATCGTATGACTCAAAGCCATGGGAAATCGATTTTGGTTCGAGTTAGCGCGAGGTTCGAGTTAGCGAGGGTTCGAGTTACCGAGAGTGAAATAGCAGCAATCGTATGACTCAAAGCCAGGGGAAATCGATTTTGGTTCGAGTTAGCGCGAGGTTCGAGTTGTCGATACATCGATAGCTGGACTGTCCTGCCTTCAAATATAAAGCAGAACACTTCGTTATTGAGTGGGGAATTCCATGTTAAGTATACACTTCCTGTATGCAATGGTGCGAAAACTTTGAACTGGATGAAAGAAAGACGGCTTGCAGTAATATGTAATTAAAAAACGGGAAACGACTGAAACTGAAATTACCACTGGTTAATTGCGTAGCTGTCGTATCCAAAATCTAAACTAACTAGGTTCACAAGAATTTTTGTAATTTTGAAAAGGTTATCATTAGCAGATTTCTAGGAACCAGACCCGTCATTTTAGCCATTTACCGACTCACATCGAAACACATAAATTACAATATCAGTAGTAATGGTCACCGATAAGAATGGATCAATTTGCTTTGCAGAAAAAACTGTCAAACCAACAGACCCCACAAAAACCTAGTAACGTATTGAATCTAAGACTACAGATTAACAGTTTCGACGCATTCGACACTAAATAAATAAGAAAATCTATTTTCTCTCGCACGATTTGACATGGTTTATTCAGTATATCCATCTGCACGCAATACTAACATTACATAATAAGATGAATACGATTGTCATGTCCAAATAGACGAAGGTTCCGCTCAACTAGTCTGAGACTACCGAGAGGTGCGATTAAAAATATTCAGACCCACTCCTTCAACCTTTGCTGCAATGTTGAGCTCACTGTCGCATTTAAGCAATTTCCGCAGCTCTGTGCGGAAATCTTTTTTAAGCAGCGCGTAGACAAAACAGTTGATGGCACAGTTTAGATGAATCAAGAGAATAGATGCAAGGCGTAATTGAGGAGAGGGCGAGCAAAGTTTGAAATTTAAACAGAAAGAGATGTATATGCTGAGACTATAACAAACCACAAACAAGCATAAAACTGCGCCAAGAATCTTAGCTGATAGCCTTTCTCGCTTGTATTTGTACTTAACACGGAAGGTTTGGTTGAACGATAAATGCGCTGCTTGAGAGGCAGCGCTCCTAGAGTGCCTAAAAACTATCATCAAAATTCTCACAAAGATTATCACGAGTAGAAGACATGAAAACAATCCAAAGAATAAATCCACGAAAACCCGATAATATGACTCTATCTCTTTTCTTAGGGTATTGTCATAAAACCACAGAAGGCGAATAAATGACACTAAACCTGATGTACTCCATGGTAGGGATATGATGACTGTTATTTTACGTGTTGTCATTTGCGTCAGATATGTAAGAGGATGCACGATGGCGTGATGTCTGTCGTAAATCATTGCCCACAAATTTAATGTCGATGCAAACAACAGGAAGTTGTAGAAGGCTAACTGAAGACGCCAGTCGCATGGAAACAGGTACGAGCATACTAGGCCAGTCGGCGTTAATAAAAGCCCCACACAAAAGTCTGATACAGCAAGAGATAACACAAACCAGTTACAAATAATCTGCAAGCGCTTTTTTGTCGCTATCAGGAAAATAACAACTCCGTTTCCCAAAATGGCGAAAGCAGAGATTATCAGCCGGGCAGACCAATACCAGGCTATTTTAGGCTCCAGTGAATAATGTCTTTCGGATGATTGTATCCCGGATGAGTTATTCATCTGTTTTGAGCAATTTGATAGCAGTGAAATTACATGTTAGCAGGGAGTCGATCCAACGTACAGACAATTATCGGGACGATGGTACTGGCTACCTCACGTTGCCATGTCTGTTCTCTCTATTTTCAGTTGTTAAGGGTGGTCTAGATCTTTAACAATAAAAACAGGCTACGTTCAAATGAGCGGCGATACCTGAATCTTGAGTGGAATTCTTGTAACCGATACTGTCAGACTTCAGTCTATAAGAAAACAACTGAAGTGATTCAGCACGCTCTCCTATTTTGCCTCGTTACACACCAAATATCGTCAGTCGCAATTTCCTATCGTTCACTTCAAGACTCTCCGAAATTATTATTCTACATGCTTTCCTTGATTACCGAAAGACCGGCATTAATACGATCGAGGGCTCCTTCCGAGCAGTACTATGCGCAGATGATGTGTCTAGATCTAGCCTCGATTCTTTTGAGTCTCCTGGCAAATGCAAGAACTGATGCGTTTGGATTAATCAGGTTGGAAACGCAAAGTTATTGTTGTCAAGTTTTCCATCAACTTAAAAGATTACAACTTATTGCAGCAACAGAGACGTCAACAACTACGGGTGCGTGTCTGTCTCAGTTAGTAAAATGAGATATTAGCATTTAATTACACGTGATGTATATTTAACTGGGTCAAAATGTTTACTCTCCAGAGAATTTAAGTTGGATTATAAAAACAAAACGTGACAAATATCACATTCAAAAACTGAATAAAGGCACTTGTGTCAAGTATTATCGAAATTGCGACGGAAAGGCTTCCCTTACTTGTCTCATCTTACCATTCGTGCGTCGGCGTCTTCTGATCTACTTTCACCCATTTTTCGACAACAATAATAACAAACGTTTACTTGTACAAATTTTTCTAAAGTTCTGATACCTTCAAGAGCAAAAATCAGACAGTCAGCAGCTGAGAACACTAAGTGTTTTCAAATAGGTCAGCGAACCAAGTCTGTTTGTCGATTCGTTATTCATAAGCATAACATTACAGGTATTTATTAATCTATGAGAAACAAAATGTCGACAGAATATGGAGAATAATGAAATTACCAAGATTTCGGTCTCACAAAACACACGCACTCCAAAATAGCAGCGCCAGTGAAAAAGAAACCAATAACACATACAAAAAGAGAAAAAAAAACAAAACAAAAAAATAGCAAATGCAAACGAGAATAAAGAAAAAAAAGATGCTCTCTAAGCTGGCTAATTCATTTGCTCCCCGCCCGATTTTTTTGGCTGACGAAAGAAGGAAAATCGCTTATCTAGCTCAGAAGTAGTCATAATTGTTGTTCTTATTTCCCCTTTTTTGAGAAAGATAAAAATTTCATTTACTACACCTATACCCGCAGGAGTAGAACTTTCACAAGGCTACATTGATAAATGCGTTTTCATGATTTTTTAAGAATATTACCGCAGGGCTGATATATCGAAGAAAAACAATTAGCGACATTTACTGGTGAAAATGTATGGTAACCTATCAAGTGCAGGAATATTTTTGCCATTTCGCTGTCATTAATAAAAAGAGACAGTTTTGCATTTTAATTTTAAGTCGATTTAATTTTTGAAACGGTTTTTTCCATTCGGTCAGTTGTTTGCCAAAAATAAAAAATGACATACCATCTTTCTTTATCCACTACCGCACTCAAAATTTTCCATGTTTCCATGCCCACTTTCTCTCAAGAATTATTAAAAATTGCTGATCTTAGCAGAATGCAAGAAGCGTGTCACATGTGAACTTCATGATGGCCTAACCCACAACACAGCGGTCTGTTATTTGGTCAGTGGTGGAGTATCGAAGGCGGAACGCCAAGCTTAGAATCTGCGTTCGATTTTTGATGAAAATTTAGATTTTTTTGCCCCACGCTGGTGACATTGCCAATAACGTTTCGCTCAGTTAATCTAATATCAAGTTCAGAAAATTATCCGTCCTTTTCATTTTATTTACCAACTCATTCTGTGTTATAATTCAATGTTTCTTTTGTTAATATTTTTAGTTATTTTCAGTTTTATTTATTTCCATTTTTATAAGCACTCTTTCTTTTTATACTTCCGTGCAGTGTTTATTAATGAATGTAAAACCAGTTTCAGGATAATCTGAACGATCTAGCGCATTGGACCATCGTTGTCTCATAATCAAAAAACTTTACTGAAGTTAAATAAATTCAATAGCGAAATTAACGGAAAAAATTTCGTGTTCAAGCTTTGAAATCGGTCTCACTCAAAATTAAATAATATTCATAACTTGGAATGTCGTTGAATACATTACATGTTATGCAGCTGTGTAAATATAGGAAAAAAATAGAATTATTTTAAGTCACAGGACCAAACATAGGAAGCGCTGGTGATTTCCCTACCAGTGTCGACCATTTGTTGAACAGTCAAAGAAAAAAGTCTGCAGCCGAATTTCCCAATGCTCCAATTTTAGGTGAGTAAAGATGTAGATATAAATGTGGTCTATAAAAGCTCTAGTGCTCTTTGCTTTCTATATGATTTCAATTGAAAAAAGTGTACACAAACGGTCTCATTATTTTCTAAACCAACAATTCGACTAAGAGATTACGTTTTTATCGAAAACAGAAATAATAAAAAAAGGTGAGGGAAGAGGGAAGTCTACCTGCATAAACGAAACTAAGTTTTTGCAGTTCCTGATATCTAAAATTGTTTTTCCAGCACTTAAACTGGAAATTACCATTTGTATTCGAGTCTTTTATTCAATCAATGTAAATATTCCGTTGAAGATGTAGTAATGTATCGTACCCTAGACTTTTACTTACTCCTGCGATGTGGTTCTTTCCATTGTGAGGCAAACATCATATAATCTAAGCGACCTAATAATTAACAGAAAATTACAAATGACTCATAAAGACTTTTGAAGAACAAAAGCTTATTTAGAAAAGACAATAAACTTCGCATCAGCTGAGCTAAAGTAACATGAATGTTAGTCTAAGTAGTAAAACAGTAGAAGGCAGCTGTCACTGAAGAGAAGAAAGAAAATGGAAACTAAACGCTGAAGTTTACTTTACGGATCGGTAGAAGGTTATAATGAAAGGTGTTACGCCAACATCCTCTATTTGAACGGCTTGGATAGCTTTCCTTCCATTGGGTGGGTGATCAACTCAAGAATTTTCGTTGTCAGTTATTGTCAAATCGCTCTGAGAATCATTTGCTGTTCTGAGCTGGTTCCTCACGATATTTTATGAGCTTTCTGGACAATCGGCCTTTTAACCCAGTAGGATTTGTTTATAAAATGTTTCTGCTTCAGTCCATAACAATTATCCTTTTGGTTTAATAGCCGATGTAGATGAATAGCCCGAGCTGATAACCCTTAAGAGATGGTATCGTTGAATACCATACGTGACAAGGAGGCGTACTGGTACTGGATCTTGATTGTCATCATCGGAATCACAACAGTGTGTGGGAACATGTTGGTTATATACATCATTGCGACGAGGAGAACACTGCACGTCGCAACCAATTGGTTCATACTTTCTCTCTCTTTCTCCGATTTGCTGGTTGGACTCTTAGTAATACCAACTTACATCATCCACACGTTCTTTGTACAACTAAATCTGCATGCTCTTTTAACATTTTATAATCTTATCTTATACGTTTCCGTTGGGAATTTGTGTGCAATGACAGGGGATAGATATCTTGCCATAACAAGACCGTTGACATACGCGTCAGAAATGACTCCTTCGAAGGTCTCGATATTTATACTTATTGCATGGATAGCACCCACTAGTTTGTCACTTTTATCATTGTCATGGAATACTTCGACCGAAACCAAAGACACCATAAACAGAATGTACAGCGGCTTGATTGTAGTCTGTTTCGAGGTAATCCCGTGTTTTATGATGATTTTGGTCCATATTCACCTGTATCTGATAACTCGATATCACAGTCGAAGAATCGCTGCGCAGGGCAATGTCATGGACCGCCACCGCAGCATCAATTATGTCACACGAAGGAGACAAAGGAATCGGGAGAGATCCAATCTTAAGGTTTTTGCATCAGTGGTCCTGTTGTTTGTGTTTTGTTGGGTTTTGTCAGCGTATCGTGGATTTTGTGAAGTTTTCAGCCTATGTTCTGTAGGCAACGAAATTGTTCAAATCTCCAGAATTCTCATATTTTCAAATTCCGCTGTTAATGTCGTCGTGTACTCACTTTTAAAAAGGGATATAAGGACGGAGCTAAAGCGGTTCCTTAAGTGCCGTGTAAGGCAGGAATCACTTCAGTTTGGCCTGGTTACTTTACGAGAGTCGATGAGACCCAGCCGCCTGCTTGAAATTGGCGTTCATGCATCAATGCGCGCGCATCAGGGGCCGGAACCTTCTTTAAATCAAGAGCCTCTCTGTCGTAAAGTAGTCGACTGACTTTATGAAATAATTTTATTGCTTACGAATGTTGTTAAATGCAGATGATTGTAGTAAAATCGGTAGTGACGGTCAATTCATGAAAACGAACAGCCAAACACAAAGGAACGCACGCAAGTCGCTAACGTAAAAATCAAGCACAAAGGAAAGCGCGTGAGTCATACGATTATCAACACAAAGGAAAGCGCACAAGTCACCAAAGAAACAGTCAAGCACAAAGGAAAGTACGCTAGTCACCAAAGAAACAATCAAACATAAAGGAAATCGTGCTGTCTGTAATCCTATCAAACAAACACAAAGAAAAGCGCTTAGGTCACAAACGTGATAATAAAACCCAAACAGCGCACGAGTCAGGAACGCAACAATCAAACACAAAGCAAAGCACACAAGTTACTAGTGGCACAAACAAACACAAAGCAAAGCACGCGAGCAACTAACGTAACAGTCAAAACAAAGTGCGAGAGTCACTGACGTATCAAACAAACACAAAGGAAAACATGCTATTCAAAAACTTAACAATCAAACACAAAACAAAGTGCGAAAGTCACTAAAGCATCAACCAAGCACATAGCAAGGGGAGCGAGTCATTAACTCAACAATCAAATAAAACAAAGTGCTCGAATCACTAACGTGATAGTCAAACGCAAAGTGAAGCGCGCAAGTCACTTACGCCATAATCAAACAGAAAGTAAAGCGCGCAGTCAAAACGTAATAATCAAACAGAAAGTAAAGCGCGCCAGTCAATAACGTAAAAATCAATCGCAAAGTAATTCGCGCCAGTCATTAACGTCACAATCAAACGCAAAGTAAAGCGCGCCAGTTACTAACGTCACAATCAAACACAAAGCAATGCGAAAGAGCCATTAACTAAACTATCAAACGCAAGTCATTAACTCAACTATCAAACACGGTTTACGGTCAATTCGCCACCACAACAAACTCGCCACCATTGAAAGTCAAATCGCCACCGGTGGCGATTTGACTTTCATTTCATTTCAAACTGTATCAGATTCCTTCAAGGGAAGAAGAGCTCTCTAAAATGTGCCCCGCTCTCGATGTTTGGCTTCGTAGCTCAGATAATATTAACTCCCAATTTAGTACCTGGGAGGCACAGGTTCGAATCCCATTCGATGTCTGATTTTTTTTCTTTAATTTTTTTAGGCACTTGCGAGGACTTTGACTATATAAATAGGGAAGAATCTAGTATCCATCGAGTGCAGATAGGTCCTCGACGAAAAGTGACCAATTCAGTAAAAGCACTTACCGTCTGCGCTGAAGAATAATTATGTCATAATTGGGAAATTTGCAAAGTATAGGACAAGTGTAATGGTTAAAATTTGTCAATTTGATGCCTTGGCCGTTTTACTGCTATCTATTAACTCCGCGCCATCGAGACTCTAAAAAAAATTAAAATAGGTAATAGTCAATTGTCAACGATTGCAAAGTGGATTCTCCTTCGTCCTATGTAAGCGCATATGTTTCTAGGGTTGGTCTTTGCAGTGAATAGGACACCTAGAACATTAGTTTCAAATTCGGATCTACTTAAAGACAAGTTCCCCGCAGCTCAGAGGGCACAGCATCTGACCGCACCATGTTGCGGTCTGTCATTAGAGTTCAAATCCTGACGCGGAGAATATTTTCAGTTTGGTTTTCGTTATTTTCTTGTTTTTGTCTTGCTCTTGTTCATCATATTTTCTCCTTGCTAAAAAAAAGTCTTTTATGTCTTTATGGGTTTTAAAATACGCATATTAAGTATCATCGAACTGACTGCTTACTTTGCTCAAGAAGTACATTCCTACACGAATTTCTTAGTAAATAAAAGGAGACAAGTTCTTCTTAAAAGAATAGCAAATCTAAATGGACGACGACGCCACCGACACAGCATCACAGTTTCTTGAGAAAATTACTCTCTTTATTCATTGCAAAGATGATTCTTTTCGTCCTATGGGATAGTGCATATGTTTCTAGACTTGATCTTTTTAGTGCATAGGACACTTAATACATGAGTTTAAAATTGAGCCTAAGATGTCGACAAGTTCACAGCTCAGTGGATAGAGCAACTGATCGCACTATGTTGCAGTCCGTGGTCAGGGATCAAATCCTGGCGCGGGGAATCTTGTCATTTTGTGTCTTTTTCGGTTTTCTCATCATATTTTTTTATCGCTGATAATAAGTCTTTGATTTCCTCATATACTGATACACATATCGTTTATAATTATCATCGATTAGATTGAATGCTTTTGCTTAAAAAGTAAAGTAGAGGTTACGCGTTCGTACTCAAAGAAAAATAGGAGATAGATACCTCTTGAAAGGATCATGACAAACAGCAACAAATCGAAGTGGACAAAATTACTTCTTACCAATTGGGACAATTGCAAACCATTGCAAAGGATTTTATTTTCCTTCTTAGGAATAGAGCCTATGTTTCTGGGTTTGATCTTTGCGGTGCGTAAAACACCTAAAACAGATGTTTAAAATTGAGCCTTTGTCACGTTGACAAATTCCTCGCAGCTCAGAGGATAGAGCATCTGACCGTACCACGTTGCGGTCCGCGGTCAGGGATCAAATCCTGGCGAGGGAAATCTCGTCATTTGTGTTAATTTTTTTGGTTTTCTCCTCATATTTTTATCCTTGCTGATAATAGGTTTTTTGATGTCCAGATATACTGATACACATATCATTTATCATCGATTAGATTGTATGCTTTTGCTCAAGAAGTAGAAGAGAGGTGATGCATTCTTTCTTCTTACTAATTGAGACAATTGCAAACCATTGCAGAAGAGATTATTTTCCTTCTATGGAATAGCACCTATGTTTCTAGGCTTGATCTTTGTAGTGCGTAGAACAGCTAAAACATAAATTTAGAATTGAGTCTAAGATGTTGACAAGTTCTCCGCAGCTCAGTGGGTAGAGCATCTGACTACACCATGTTGCGGTCCGTGGTCAGGGATCAAATCCTGGCGCGGGGAATCTTGTCATTTTATTTCTTTTTCGGGTTTTCTCATCCTTTTTTTTAATAGCTTATAATAGGTCTTTGATGTCCTCAGTTACTGATACATATATCATTTATCATCGATTAGATTGTATGCTTTTCTTCAAGAAGTAAAATAGGGATAGTGCACTATTACATAGATTTCTTAGAAAATAAAAGAAGACAGGTGCTTCTTAAAAAAAAACATGAGCAACAGCAAGTCGAAGTGGACAAAATTACTTCTTACCAATTGAGACGATTGCAAAATATTGCAAAGGCGAGTCTTTTCCTTTTGAGGAATAGCGCTTATTTTTCTCGGCTTGATATTTGCAGTACGTAGAACACCTAAAACATAAGTTTGATATTGAGCCTTAGACGTTGACAAGTTCCCCGCAGCTCAGTGGGTAGAGCATCTGACTACACCATGTTGCGGTCCGTGGTCAGGGATCAAATCCTGGCGCGGGGAATCTTGTCATTTTTGTTTTTTTTTTTGGTTTTCTCATCATATTTTTATCCTTGCTGATAATAGGTCTTTGATGTCCTCCTTTACTGATACACATATCATTTATCATCGATTAGATTGTACGCTTTTGCTCAAGAAGTCAAATAGAAGTAATGCATTAGTACACAAATTTGTTAGAAAATAAAAGATAAAAGGTACTTCTTAAAAGGAACAGCAAATCGAAGTGGACAAAGTTTCTTCCTACTAATTGAGACAATTGCAAACCATTGCAGAAGAGATTCTTTTTCTTCTATGGAATAGCGCCTGTGTTTCTAGGCTTGATATTTGCAGCACATAGGACACCTGAAACATAACTTTAGAATTGAGTCTATGGTGTTGACAAGTTCCCCGCAGCTCAGTGGGTAGAGCATCTGACCGCACCATGTTGCGGTCCGTGGTCAGGGATCAAATCCTGGCGCGGGGAATCTTGTCATTTTATTTCTTTTTCGGGTTTTCTCATCCTTTTTTTTAATAGCTTATAATAGGTCTTTGATGTCCTCAGTTACTGATACATATATCATTTATCATCGATTAGATTGTATGCTTTTCTTCAAGAAGTAAAATAGGGATAGTGCACTATTACATAGATTTCTTAGAAAATAAAAGAAGACAGGTGCTTCTTAAAAAAAAACATGAGCAACAGCAAGTCGAAGTGGACAAAATTACTTCTTACCAATTGAGACGATTGCAAAATATTGCAAAGGCGAGTCTTTTCCTTTTGAGGAATAGCGCTTATTTTTCTCGGCTTGATATTTGCAGTACGTAGAACACCTAAAACATAAGTTTGATATTGAGCCTTAGACGTTGACAAGTTCCCCGCAGCTCAGTGGGTAGAGCATCTGACCGCACCATGTTGCGGTCCGTGGTCCGGGATCAAATCCTGGAGCGGGGAATCTCGTCATTTTTGTTTCTTTTTTTGGTTAGGCTTGTTCTTTTGCAGTGCAAAGGAAACTTGAAACATGAGTTTAAGACTGAGCCTATGATATTGACAAGTGTGTCACTTATCAACGTCAAATTCTGGCGCAGAGAATTTTGTTTTTTTGTTTCTTTTTTGGTTTTTTTTTATCATATTTTTATCCTTGCTGATAATAGGTCTTTGATGTCCTGATATACTGATACACATATCATTTATCATCGAATAGATTGTATGCTTTTGCTCAAGAAGCAAAATAGAAGTAATGCACTTGTATACAAAAAATAGATACTTCTTAAAAGGAACAGCAAATCGAAGTACGAAGTTTTTCTTACTAATTGAGTCAAGTACAAACCATTGCAGAAGAGATTCTTTTTCTTCTATAGAATAGCGCCAATGTGTTAAGGCTTGATCTTTGCAGTGCGTAGAACACCTAATACATGAGTTTAAAATTGAGGCTCAGTAGGTAGAGCATCTGACCGCACCATGTTGCGGTCCGTGGTCAGGGATCAAATACTGGCGCGGGGAATCTT